CTCCTCCTCTCCCCAGGTCTGGTCTCTGATCCGGCGGGCGCGCAGATACCTGCAGAAGGGCTACACCACGCTGCTGTTCCGGGAGGGGGACTTCTTCTGCTCCTACTTCCTGTGGTTCCAGAACGAGATGGTGGGTGCAGCTTTCCTCGCCTGGCACTCATTCCTTCCTCGTGGACGGTGTGCAGGCTGTCTCTCCATCTCTTCGTGTCCCTGGTGGAGCTGACAGATAAGCAAAGCTGGTTGGGACCCGGAACTCAGAGGTCCCTTTTCCCACCGGCTTTGTGTCCCTCCACCCAGCTGCTGTTCAAGGCAGCATTTAGTAACTTCAGGTAATGTGAGAACAGAGGGACGCATGCCCTGTGTGAGAAAGGCTGCTCAGATCATGTGCTTCCTCAGTGATGCCCCAGCATCACCCACTGTACTTAAAAAGCAATGCACACTGTTGTTCCCATTGTACAGGTGGATAAACTGAGGCTCAAAGCAATTAACCAGCCTGCCCGAGTACAGCTGACAGTATAGCTTGGATCTCTTGCCTCTTGGCTGGTTCTCTAGACCTCACTGTTACTGCAGTGTATGGACATGGCTGGAAAATTATTGTCTGCTGTCCCCATGTCTCTCTCCCCCTCCCCCTCTCTTCCTCCCTCTCCCTTCCCCTCGTGCTCTCCCTCCCTCCCCCACTCTTTCATTTTCTGTTTCACTTTGTTTTCTCCTCATTTGTCACTGTTAATCATTATTCCAGCTTTCTAAAGGTCATTTCTGCTACCCCCACATGCCTTTGGTCCCCGTTCTCCTGTCTCCCTGTCCCCATGCCCTACTCTCTCTCTGCTCTTGGCGAGAGGTGACTCTGAGGTGATGGCCCGTCCCTTTCCTCAGTGAAGTTATTGGAGTCTCTCACCACTGTTCTCCCAGCCGCACAGCCCTGTGCGATGGTTGAGGCCAGTATCATTGACCCATTCTACACACTGGAGATCAAACACCACGGCTGGTCACTGAGGTCATAGGTGATGAAGCCAGAACCCAGGCTCCCATCTTTGCTCTGTGTCTCAGAACTTCCCAATGTGTGTATGACCTTGCCCTTAGCTTCAGAGCAAGGCACAGCTTCGTGTGCTTGGTTGGTCCCCGGGGCAAAGGGCTGAGGTAAAGCTGCGGGTGGGGAGGCCCAGTGTGAAGTCTGGCCGAGCGTACCTCCTGGTGCTGGGCAGGCGCCGTGACTGGGCCTGGCACACAGGGGGTGCCCGGTGGACCTCGGTTCCCTTCCCCTCCAGGTGCGACCCTGGGAATGCCCGGTGCTTGCAAAGGGAGACGGGCCTCTTGGTAATGCTTTGCTCTTCACGGCACCTCCCGGGTCACCCTCCCAGTGGCCCTCCTGAGCATGGTGACCCAGGTCGTCATTGATGGGAAGGAGAGCTCCCACGTGCCAGGCACGGTGCTCGGAACTTTACACCCATCATCTCTGCTGTTCGTTGGGATTTTTGTTATCCCCACTTCACAGATGAGAAAACAGTAGAAAGAAGTCCCCGGTTTTCCCAGCACCAAGCACACCCCAGGCAGGGCTGAGCCAGGCCCTGAACCCGGTGTGTCTGACCCACATGTTCTTCCCACCACACCCACCACCTCTCCAAGCAAGACCTTCTTCCTCCTTCCCAGGGGCACAAACTCCAGATAATCGAGGTGCCTGTCCTGTCCGATGACGCGGCGCCCGTGGGCATGCTGGGAGGAGACTACTACAGGTGACAGATTTGTGTACCCTGTTGGGGCTGTGGGTGCACAGATGTTGGGTGATAAGTAACAGTTCCCACATAGGGGAGCAGCTTCTATGTCCGGATGCCCCCCAAGAACCTCTAAACTCTCGTTAGAGGCTCCTCACAGCCAGGGCCAGCATCCAGTGAGAAAGTGAGTGGGAAACATTTGGGTTTCTGCCCATCTTGCTGTTGGCACCTTCTTGGCAGCATTTGCAAACATCTGCCCTTGGGTCCCAGGACTTCCCTGCTGGCTCCGTGGCTCTTAGCTAGGATGCTCCGTCAGCAGGCCCCACACAGGACTGGGAACTGGAGGGATGGACCGAGGCAGCCTGGGGCTGAGCCTCGCACAGTGAGGTCAGCAAGGGAAGGCCTGGCAGGCCTGGTGCTGGAGCTGGTGAGGGGACTGTCTGCAAGGTGCCAAAGAGCCCCTGGCTCCGGTGGGGAGTGCCGGGGCTGCTTCTGAATCCTGTCCCTCCTCCCTCCCGTAGGAAGCTCCTGCGCTACTACAGCAAGGACCACCCGGCCGAGGTCGTCAGGTGTCATGAGCTGCTGGCCCTCCACCTGTCAGTCATCCCCATAGATGTGCTGGTGCAGCAGGCGGGCGAGCTGGCCCAGCGCCTGTGGGAGTCCTCCCGGGTCCCCCTGCTCTAGGCAGTGGGCAGTGCACCTGGCTCTCCACCCCCACCCCCACCTCAGACATCCCTACTACAGAGCCTCCTGGCGGGCAGCCACCTGAGGACCGGACAGGCCCCAGGGCAGCTCCAGGACTTCTTTTATTTCTTTTGTTTGTTTTCTTCTGTTTCCTTCTCCCCACCCCACCCCAGGATTTCTTTAAAAAACCTCACCTAAAGCAGCCTCAGGCCAGGCAGTGACCAAACCCCCAGAAGCTTCTGTCTGGAGGAAGAGGGAGGCCAGGAGGTTCCTTTGTCTCTAAAACAGCAGTGGCTGCGAGGTCAGAGCTGCCTGCGTGTATCCCAGGAGACAGGTGTCTGAGGACACTATCCTCTGCCTTTGTCCGAGGCGGGAGAGCTCCCTGGGGAAGCCCTTTCCTTCCCAGATGACAGGTGCTCCCTGGCTGGGGTCGAGTTCCAAATCTGCCACTTCCTCTCGGCAGCTCTGAGCAGGCTCCCCACGTGAGGGCCGACCCCACTCCCTGTCAGGGTGTTTGTAAGGGCTGCTGGGCACGAGAGGAGCCTCAATAAATGCTGGTCACGGTTATTGGTCTTGTCCAAGCTAAAGCACCTGGGCCCCTGGGCCTTCTTGGTGCCTAGAAACCCTGGCAGGTCCTGGCCTCTGGGTGCCCACACGGCTCCTGGCTCCTGCCCTGGCCCCACCCAGAGATCCAGGGATCCCAGGCATGGAGGCTTGTCAGGGCGCCCAGGTGATCTGGTGTGCCTGGGTTTGAGAACCAACAGCCCAGGGGAGCAGCCTCCAACCCAGAAGCTCCCACCCCAGGGGGGACACAGGACAGACCGTTGGCGTGCTGGACCTGGGGAGGACCACAGAGGTCGGTGCCCCTCGCAGCAGCACAGCAGGTTCCTGTGTGATGGCAGACCGCAGCCCCCTCCTGAGTCTGCAGTCTGGAGCCACAACTCGTGCCTAGGACCGCTCTTTCCCGTAGGGAGCAGCCTGAGGGCTCAGGTGCTAAAGGAACTAGAGCAGTGGTTCTCCACCTTCCTCATGCCGCGACCCTTTAATACAGTTCCTCATGTTGTGGTGACCCCCAACCATAAAATTATTTTCGTTGCTACTTCATAACTGTAATTTTGCTACTGTTATGAATCGTAATGTAAATATCTGATATGCAGGGCGTATTTTCATTGTTACAAATTGAACATAATTAAAGCATAATGATTAATCACAAAAACAATGTGTAATTATACATGTGTTTTCCGATGGTCTTAGGCGACCCCTGTGAAAGGGTCGTTCGACCCCCAAAGGGGTTGCGACCCACAGGTTGAGAACCGCTAAACTAGAGCCACACCCGGGCCCAGGTGCTTGGAAGGGGGCAGGAAGGGACAGCCAGGGAATGGACTGCAGTCCTCCCTCATATGCCTTCATGAGGGACATTTAAAACATCCCCTGGAAAGTACGGCCAGCACAAAGGGGAGACTAAGTCTGGAAGCCCCCCCCCCCGTGACTTTAGGGCCCCCACTTTCGTCGCCTAATATTCCCCTTAAATTTCAGCCGCTGCGTGCTGTGACATAGTCTAACCGACCCCACCCCCATCTGTCATTAGCAGCGGGGGCATCCTGAGGGGTTTCGGCAGAGCCTCACAGGGGGTGCAGGGGCTGTGCCTGTGAGGGCCTCTGCGAGGAGAAGGGTCCCCGGAATACGCCCCCTGAGAGCACTTTCCACACGCCCTCCCGATGGTGAGGTGAGGCTGACATGGGGTTACTGGAACATGTCAGAGCAGCGCAGACACTCCCGGCTGCTGGGGTGGTGCTTCCTACAAGGGGCGCAGCCCGCTTACTAAGGGGCCAGGGACCAAGGGGCTCCTAATTCAGGACAGGCCAAGGGTAGTAATAAGGCGCTTTAGCCGAAGATCCTTACAGATGTGGCCTTCAATCCCTGAGGATTCTTGGGAAAGGTGCCAAAAGACAAGGGAGATGTCCAGGCCTTCAAAAGGAAAAGGTGAACCCCAAGAATTACAGATGAGTGAGCTGGCCCCCAGCCCCTCAGGCCCCTGCCGTAGCCACTTAAGTGTTTGGAGGAGAAGGCGCCTCTGCTGCCCAGCGCAGGTGCGGCCCTCCCTGCAGCTTTGCTGAGGCCGAGAGCAAGGCCATGCTAGGGGGTGCTGGGCCAGCGGCTCCCCAAGGGGTTCACCACCCTACAGGCCGGCAGGTCAGGGAGTGAGAGGCAGTCAAACCTGAGTCTCTCTTAGATTTCCCACCCCAGCACCTCCCGGGCATTTCATTCCTTCCGGAGAAGCAGGACAGCACAGAGCCCCTCACTGCTCTCACACACCCCTCTCTGAGCCTCATGCCCTCAGCTGTAGAATGGGGGTGCTGGGGCTTACGGGAGGGGCTTCAGGACTGGGCAGCACAGCGCCTGGCTCATGGGGGCCCTCGAGAATTACCAGCAGAGAGAGTACTCCGAAGGCCGCAGGAGCTCTGCGGGTTATAGTTCTGCAGCTGTGCCCTGGGTGGACTCGGTGGGGGAGGGGCGTGTGCAGCTCAGCGTCCTCGGTTTAGGCCTGGCCCCGGGCCAGGTGTGGCAACAGGACTGCAGCTCCTCCTCTCCTCCCGCTTTTCCCTGCTCCCCCGCCCCTTGAGGAGGCACAAACGCTGATGGCAAGCAAATTACTGGCCCAGTGCTGAGCAGAAATGGCTGCAAGTGGCCGAGGTCTCCGCAGGGCCGTGAGCGCCTGGCCCTGGCCTGCGTGGAGACGAGCTCACTGGGAAGCCACGGGGCGCCCGAAGCCTGAGTACGATGCGGTGGTGATAGGAGCAGGTAAAGCGCTGAGCTGGAGCTGAGGGCGGGGAGGCAGCTCTGCCCAGAGGCCTGGAGGGACCCCTCCCCAGCCTTCCCTGTTTGCTGGGCACAAGCCGGCCAGGAGTGGGGGCAAAAGGGAGAGGGGCTGTGGTGGAAGCCACAGTCTGCCAGCAGGCGCGGGTCCTGGGGCTCTGGCATCGACTTCTGTGTGGTTTGGAGCAGATTCTTGTCCTCTGGGCTTGGGTCTTCCCATCTACAATGAGGAGGAGGACTAGGTCATTCTCTCTCCTATGAAATTTGCTGGTTGCCACCACATTCTTGAAAATCACATGTTACCTACGGGTTAGAAAGAAAGAGCCTGCAACAACAGACCGGTGGAGTCCAGCCACATCAAGGGCCTGAGTCCTGGTCACCACAGCCTCGTCACTGCAGCCACCCATCCCCAGAGTAAACGGATCGTTTCACAAAGGGGGGTTAGAAAACAAAAACGAGTCCCAGAGATGCTTGTGCATGTCCGCAGAGGGCGACAGCCTCACTGCCGTGCACATCTGGGTGTGGAATCTGCAACAGGGGTCCTGCTGGCCCCGGGCTCAGAGCCCTGACCACCGGGTGCCTGGGGGCTGCAGGCAGGACCGGCTGCCCATCCTCAGGCCTGCCATTCACACAGAGGGCCCGAGTTTCAACTTTTGGCATTATTTCCAACTGGGTTTATACAGAGAGACAACGACAGGACTGGAAGGAGACCATGCCCATTAGCTTTAAAGCTGCACCGTGTTTTGGCGTTCCTTCATTTTGTATGCGCTGAGAGCAGCCATGTGCCAGTCAATGTTTAACAGTCACCCCTCCAGGGGAAACGTGTGCAAATGCACCCATGCATCAGCTTAGTAGCGATGCTGAAATAAAAGCAACAGAGCACATTTTTACAGGTAAAATAACGGTACTCTACATTCCAGGTAGCCAAGTGATTCTCACCAAATGTCTGTGATTTTTGCCAAACTCAGTAGCCAGCCTATGGTTGCAATTGACAAATGAGGATAGTTCCAAAAAATGTTGTGTGATGTTTTCATTTACGTTAAAGAGTAGAACAAAAGTGAACTAAGTGAAACCACGAAGATTTATGTCCGAACTTCACTCCTTTAGCGAGGGGACCGACTTTCCTCCATCCGATAATACTTTGACTACTGGAAGAACATTCCCTCCATTGTTTGTGCTTTTTGTGATGCTACAGCTACGGACACAACACACTGTTAAGTTTAACCTGCATAATTCGCATTTTCTCCACTTTCTAACGTCTATCAGCAGAATAACGAATCAAGCCCGCCGTGTAGTGCCGGCTGATCCCCAGGTGTAAGTACTCTCGCCACGGCCTTTTTCAAGTTGCCAAATGGCGTGCTGGATGTGAGCCTGGGTGGGATACACAGCAGCCCACTGTTACCTAGCATGGCCGCCGTACGGATGCACAGAGGTAATTACCGCAAGAGCATAGACCATAGTAAAACATGTACAATAATCAGGAAGTGACAGTATTGAGTATTGTCTTTAATATAATTTATTTCATTGTAAGCTTATGTAAGTTAATGTTTAACAATGGCTGTTCTGACGACCACTCACTTCCTGGGCTGGGGCAGCCAGCCCCACCCGCACTGACAGCTCAGTAAATGGAAGCGCCCCATCTCTCAGCCTCACAGGGGGCCTCTGCCTTTCTCCGCCCATGACGACAGCTCACCTGGCTGTTTCCTGGCAGGGAGATTGACTCTACGCCTCATCTCTGCGTCCCTGAAGTCGCACCAGGAGCTGGGAGCCACCTGGAAGAGGACCCCCATGTAGTCAGCGGACTCAGCGTGCCTAAGAAAGCCAGGAGCTTGTTAAAATGCAGGTCCGGGCCCTGGGCCTGGCGATTAGGATTCTCGGGCTTGAAGGTGGCTCCGGAGGTCCGCATGTCTAACCAACCCTGTGAGTGGACCCCATGCAGGCAGCGTCAGCCCACACGTTCCAGAGCCCTTGTTCAGAGCAGCTTCTCCGTGGAGCCCTGCGAGCCTGCTGCCCATGGCTCCCAGGAGTCGGGCGTGGGGATCAGCTGAGCCTGCCTGCAGCCTAAGGCCACTGCAGGAGGCAGGGGGAGGTCACCAGAAGCCACAGGAGGGCTCAGCCAGGACTGGGGGGTGAGGGGTGCCGTGAGGAGGGTTCTGGGATATCGGATCCCAGACTCCTGTCATCTGAGGTATGTTTGTGCATTTGTGGGCTTATCTGTGATGATTGAACTGGAACCTAGTTGCCTGGAAGCCTTTATTAGTTTTCCAAGATTCACAATCAGTACTAATTAAAGAACAAATAGCTACCATTTATTGTGGGCCTGCTAAGGGCCGGGCTTTCCATATATTATTGGTGGTTTTCTCTGCAACACTGCAAGGCCCCCCGCATCCTGTTTCGCACATGAGGAAGCACGAGGCTCCTGGCCGTGACACTGGCTCTCGGGGCCACGCCTGGAACTAGCGGGAGCCAGGCTGAGCCAGGACGGTGGCCTTGCAGGTGCATGTATTTGAGAGCAGGGCTTTTCAAACTGCAGTGGCAACCCCCTCATGAGTCCCACCCAGCAATGTTTTCTAAACTTTCTTAAGAGAATTTTCAAAAGTGTATAAAAATAGAATATCCAACAGCATTTTAAAAAAATAAAATTTTATCTAATAGATCATCCCCTGCTTATCACATAGTAAGAGTTGATGTCAGTTCACCTTTGTTTCTGTGAAGACACTTGCATGTGGAGGGTGTGCCAGGCCAGCGTGTAAGATGCACTTCCTCCACGGATCCTGGTTGGCGAGGTTTGAAAAGGGATTCCTGGAGTGGGTGAGAGGTCGGCTCAATGACCTCTAAAACTCTGCGAGTTTCTATGTGGAAAATTTAAAATCGGCTCAGCGGTGAAGAAAACCATCATGCGGGTCATTGCTGCTCCCCTATTTATGGATGTTTGTGAAATTATCAGTTGAGCGTTTTATTTGAGTCAACAGAGGGTTCAGGTTGGTGCTCAGAGAACAGTCATCTGACGTCTTCGAAGATGCAGAGCGACCTTTCATCACCAAGGACAGATACATGCCCACTGGTCCAGACTACGCCCGCCTCCTTCCCTGAAAATGTCCGGGGCCTGTTCTCTGCCCAACGAGGATCCATCGGCAGCTGCACCTTCTCCTGAAACTAAGGAAAGAGGAGGCCACTCGGCCCCGGGACCACCTGCCTCAGAATGACCTGGGAGCGCGAGACCCCGTACCAGGCCCCGCCACCCGCCTGCTGAGTACACTCGGCATTCACACGGGCTCTGGGTGGTCGTGACACTTCTCAAGCTGGGGAGGCACTTCTACCAGGAGGGTTGGTGTGGACCTGGGCTCCCAAGCCAAGTTCAGGGCTCCTGACCCGCAGGCGGCGGCCTACGGTTTTGGGAAGAGAGTTTGTGTGTAAGGCCGGTAAGTCCACCCGATGCCCGGCTCCCTGACGCATGCCAGCTACTCCAGCACACATGGGAACGGTGGAGTTCAATTCCTGCCTTTCGAACTGTGCTTATTGTACTTTGGGAGCGCTGGGGGTGACAAAGACAAAGCCATGTGCCTACAGCCGTCTGGGCCACTGCTGTGAACCACACTTGGCAAAGTGAGCCAGGACAGCAACCGCAACCGTCCTCACGACCAGCACTTACCTGGGTGGCCGCTGATTCCACGCCAGACGGGACCCTCCAGCATCAGCGCGCCGGCCACGTTCCCCCCGACAGTCACCCCTCGTTCCCACGTGAGGCAGCTCAGTGATGCGAGGCTCCACGGGATGGCTTTCTCTGATGAGCGTGGACTCCTCGCCCCTCACTCCAGCACGGAGCCCCTGGCCACGCCAGGCGAAAGGACATCTTCCAGGCCAGGGCAAGAACCGGGGTTTCTGACTCCCCACAGACCAGGCGTCTCAGGGCATCAGGCTGGATGCTGTTCTGACATCCAGGTGCAAGTTTGGGGGGACCCCAGGTTTCTGCTCCCTCTCCAGCGTCTTCCCAGGCGTAGGGCAGGGATGGGTGACACACCACCAGGGAAGTGTCTGTCTGCCTGCTGACCATGCCGCTTTCCTCCCCTCCCTGTGTCATTGCAGGTCACAACGGGCTGGTGGCTGTGAGTACCTCCCCCTGCCACGCTTCACTGGCCCCTGGGCATGTGGCTCTCAGTAGCCACGGGAGAGAAGGAAAGGCAGGCCCGTCCTCTCTCCTGGTGCTGACCAGTGGCCGGGAGGAATGGAATCTGCAGGGGTTAAGGAGGATGTCGGGGGCTCCCTTCCTCCCCTCTCCTTCAATGCCATGGATTTCCCCTTGGCCTTGGAGGAGTCAGGGAACTTCAGAGGCGAGATGATGAGAAGCTGGGGAGGTGGGTGGGTAACTGGCATCGCCTGGGAGACGTGTTGGAGCCTGGGGACCAGGTACCGAGCGGGCGGGCCTATCTATGCTCCCGAGTGTGCGCAGTCCTGTGTGGCGAGGCCCGTGCTCTCAGCTGGGCCCAGGCCACACACCACCCGGAGTGGACAGCAGCCCCACGGGCCAGGTGCACCCTGGGACAGCAAGGAAGCCAGGGCAGCAGGGAGGTGCCGTCTGAGCTGGGCCAGGGTTACCGTGGCTGTGCTTCTCGGACCTGAGTCCGTGGGCTCCCAGGAGGCCACAGTGTGCCAGAGGGTGTCCAGGACCCAAGGCAGACACGGGACATCGTCCTGAAGCGGTGGCCACTCTGGACGATCAACGTAGGGGACTTAGCCAAGCCAGAGCGATGAGACGGGTGCTAAGTCTCAGTACTTTCCCCGACACATCCATTTTACTTGAACATTTTACAGGGGGACAGATCAGTCATTTAAAACATCGATTTTGTGTTCATACGAGCCTGGGCTTGTCTCCCAGCTCTGCCTACGTGGGGAGGGTCAGGCAAGTCACGCCAGCTCTGAGCTGCGGGAACACAGGGTCAGGACGCCCACCTCGCAGTGTTGTGAAGGGACTCGATGCTGACTCGTTGCCGGAGGTTTCCAGCCGAGGCCACCGGTCCCTGCCGTTCGTGGAGCTGGGTGGTGGCTCCTGGCGGCGAGGAGACCGCACCCCCGGGAGCCCAGGCGCTCAGTGAGGGCAGTGGGAGGACCTGCGCTGTGGCTGGATGATTTGAGGGGCATCTAGCAGTAGGGTTTGCTCTCAATGGGACCCTGTCAGAAAGGGGGACAACTCCACGACCTTGAATCTTGTCTGTGTCGAGGCGGGAGGAGACGGGAGGAGACGGGAACTGGTGACGAAGCAGCCATCTCGGCCCAGAAAGGGAGCGTTTGGCATTTTGTGGGGGCCCAGAGCCCCTGCGTTTGTGCTCAGACAGAATTATGAGGGGCTTGCTCTGTCTCAGTCTCTGTGCTCTTAGCCCCTGGTCGGAGGTGGTCCTTCCAGCAGGACACACGGGCTCCCCAAGGCCAGCTGTTCTCTCTCCTCTCCCGCCCGGATGTGTGGGGAGCACGGGCCCTGGGCCAGGCCAGCTGGTTCAGTTCCCAGCCCCTCTCTTCATCAGCTCCGTGAGCCTGAGGAGAGCGATGCCCCTCACTGAGCCTCGGTTTCCTCACCTGTGAAATGGGAGGGATTCTAGTTCTCCCTCGAGGGCTGGGTGAATTAAACGAGCTGACCCCGTCCAGTGTCTGGCACATCGTCGTTGCCAAGTGAACTTTTTTTTTAAGTCTGAGTTCTATACCATCTGAACTATACCACCCCTGTTGTCACCTGGGTGGTGGTGAGAGGACCGGCATAGGCTCAAAACCCGACTAATTCTACTCAACAAATATTTATTGATTTACAACTAAGTGCTAGAGAAAAATTACTAAAACCCCTCCATCATTTGTTCCTCTGAATGAGGCTGCACTGCAGTCTGAGCTTCATTCTCTGGGCACGTTCCCTGAGCCAGCAACCAGCTCAGGGAACTCTCACAGCAACCCGCGAGCCAGGTGAAGTGGGTATTGTTATCATGGCCCCATTTTGCACATGAGGAGATGGAGGCCAGGTGGCTCGGTGCCGAAGCTGCCCAGGCAGGAGAGGAGTAGAAGCCATGGGGAGGGGAGGTCAGGCTCAGCGCCCACAGCCCAGTCACTC